ATGGGGTCTGAGTGGCTCCCTATGGGGTCTCTATGGTCCCTGTGGGGTCTGAGTGGCTCCCTATGGGGTCTGAGTGGCTCCCTATGGGGTCTCTATGCTCCCTATGGGGTCTCTATGCTCCCTATGGGGTCTCTATGCTCCCTATGGGGTCTCTATGGTCCCTATGGGGTCTCAATGGCTCCCTATGGGGTCTCTGTTTCCCTATGGAGCGCCGCCACGTCTCTATGGTCCCCACAACCCCCAACCTCCCACCTGACTCCTCCATCCCCCCCACTTCCGCTTTCTGGCCCCGCCCCTTCCGCTTCAGCGCTCACTACGCCGAATACCTGGTGCGGCTGATCAACGAGCGCGGTTTGGACCCGGCGACGCTGTACGGAGCGGCCGAACTTCGAGCGGCGGCTGAGCGCCACCTGCCGGCCGGGAGGCCGCCGCAAGGCGACAACGAAAACGACGCGGAGTACGCACTGCGCCTGCGCGAACTCCTAGCGCGGGAAGCGCCCGTGGAGCCCCGCCCATCGCGTCCAAGCCCCGCCCCTTAAAAAAAAACCCACCCCGCTTTTTAATAAAGTGCGCATGCGCTTTGAGTCACGTGTGTGCGTTGCGCGCTCCGATTGGGTGTCGCTGCGGCGGCGCGCGACGGGATTGGGTGAGAGGGGCGGTGGGCGGGGCTTGAGGGAGGGGATAAAAGGTGCGGCGCGGGATGCGTGTGTGGAGAGCGCGGCGTCGGCGGAGCGGAGCGCGGGAGGAGCGGCTGGTCGCTAATTAACGGCTGGTTGCTAATTAACGGCTGCTTAGCGGCTAATTAGCGGCTAACTTGAGGTCGTTGAGGGGGTGAGAGGGCGGAAAGCGGAAGGGGCGGGCGGAAATCGGGCGCTTTTGGGGTGAATTCGAAGCGTTTTGGGGCCGGAGGAGTTTTTGGGGTGAATTCGGGGGGTTTGGGGCAAAAGCTGAAGGAGAAGCGGGGGGGATTTGCGACATTTTGGGGCTTTTCGGGCAAAATTCGGGGCGTTTCGGGACCTTTTTGAAGCGTTTTGGGGCCGCTGGGAGTTTTGAGGTAAATTCGAGGGATTTGGGGCAAATTTGAGATTTTTGGGGCGAATTTCGGCGTCCTGAGGGGCAGAGCGGGAAAATCTGAGGCGTTCGGGGCCGTTTGAGGCATTTTGGGGTCAAATCGATGGGATTTGGGGGCTGTTTGGGGGGCTTCAGATTTTGGGGTGAAATCGCCGGTTTTTGGGACATTTTGTGTCAAAATTGCGATTTCTGTTGTAATTACTTAAATTCGCTCCATTTCGGGTCAATTTGAGCCATTTTGGGCTCCATTTTGTCCCATTTTGGGTCCGTTTGGGGGGCTTTAAGTTTTGGGTTAAAATCGCCGTTTTTTGGGTCGTTTTGGTAAAAGTTATAATTTTTGTCAGTAATTACTCGAGTTCGCTCAATTTTGGGTCTATTTTGGCCATTTTTGCATCGAATTTTTCCCATTTTTGAAGTGTTTTGGGGGCTTTAAATTTTGGGTTAAAATCGTCGTTTTTGGGTCATTTTGCGTCAAAATTACAATTTTTGTCAATAATTGCTCAAGTTTGCTCAATTTTGGGTCCATTTCCACGATTTTTGTGTCGAATTTGTCCCGTTTTGGGTCATTTTGGGGTCCGTTTCATTTTGGGTCAAAATCTCCATTTTTTGGGTCATTTTGTATCAAAATCGCCATTTTTGTTGCAGTTTCCCAAATCTGCTCCATTTTGGGTCCATTTCAGCCATTTTTGGCTCCAATTTGTCCCATTTTGGGTCTGTTTTGGGGGCTTTAAGTTTTGGGTTAAAATCACCCTTTTTTGGGTCATTTTGTATCAAAATTACGATTTTTGTTGTAATTGCAGGAATTTGCTCCATTTTGGGTCAATTTCAGCCATTTTTGGGTCCAATTTGTCCCATTTTGGGTCTGTTTTGGGGGCTTTAAATTTTGGGTTAAAATCGCCGTTTTTTGGGTAATTTTGTGTCAAAATCGCCATTTTTGTTCCCTTTCCCCAAATCTGCTCCATTTTGGGTCCATTTCAGCCATTTTTGGCTCCAATTTGTCCCATTTTAGGTCCATTTTTGGTCCGTTTCATTTTGGGTCAAAATCGCCATTTTTCGGGTCATTTTGTATCAAAATTACGATTTTTGTTGTAATTACCCGAATTTGTTCCATTTTGGGTCCATTTCAGCCATTTTTGGGTCCAATTTCTGTCATTCTGGGTCCGTTTGGGGGGCTTTAAATTTTGGGTCAAAATCTCCATTTTTTGGGTCATTTTGGTGGAAACCCGGCAATTTTGGGTCCAAAAGCCCCAATTTTGGGTCTAAAATCCCAGGTTTGGGTGAAAAAGTCCCGGTTTTGGGTCAAAAAGCCCCAGTTTTGGGTCAAAAAGCCCCAGGTTTGGGTCAAAAAGCTCCAATTTTGGGTCAAAAAACCCCAATTTTGGGTCAAAAAGCTCCAATTTTGGGTCAAAAAGCCCCATTTTGGGGTCAAAAATCCCAGGTTTGGGTCAAAAAGGCCCAATTTTGGGTCTCCAGAGCCCCATTTTTGGGTCAAAAAAACCCAGTTTTGGGTCTAAACTCGGCAGTTTGGGGTCAAGAAGCCCCGATTTTGGGTCAAAAAACCCCAATTTTGGGTCAAAAAACCCCGATTTTGGGTCTGCAAAGCCCTAATTTTAGGTCTAAAAGCCCCATTTTTGGGTCAAAACCCCGCAGTTTTGGGTCTAAAAGCTCCAATTTTGGGTCTAAAAGCCCCATTTGGGGTCAAAAAGCCCCAATTTTGGGTCTGCAGAGCCCCATTTTTGGGTCAAAACCCGGCATTTTTGGGTCAAAAAGACCCATTTTTGGGTCAAAAAGCCCCGATTTGGGGTCAAAAAACCCCGATTTTGGGTCAAAATCCGGCAGTTTTGGGTCTGCAAAGCCCCAATTTTGGGTCAAAAAGCCCCAATTTTGGGTCGAAAAACCCCGATTTTAGGTCAAAAAGCCCCAATTTTAGGTCTGTAGAACTCCGTTTTTGGGTCAAAATCCGGCAGTTTTGGGTCTAAAAGCCCCGATTTTGGGTCAAAAAGCTCCAATTTTGGGTCAAAAAGCTCCAATTTTGGGTCAAAAAGCCCCAGTTTTGGGTCAAAAATCTCAGGTTTTGGTGTCGAAAAGCCCCGTTTTTGGGTGAAAACTCGGCAGTTTTGGGTCAAAAAGCCCCAATTTGGGGTTAAAAAAGCCCCATTTGGGGTCTGCAAAGCCCCGATTTTGGGTCGAAAAACCCCGATTTTGGGTCAAAATCTGGCAGTTTTGGGGTCAGAAAATTCAAGTTTTGGGTTAAAATCCAGCAGTTTTGGGTCTGCAAAGCCCCAATTTTGGGTCAAAAAGCCCCATTTTGGGTCAAAAAGCCCCATTTTGGGGTCAAAATCCCCATTTTTGGGTCAAAAAGCCCCGATTTTGGGTCAAAATCCCCATTTTGGGGTGAAAAAGCCCCACTTTGGGTTCGGAAGGCCCGATTTTGGGGGAAAAAACGGCATTTTGGGGTTGAAAATCGGCGGGTTTGGGTTAAAAAGTGCCGGTTTTGGGGTCTGGAAATCCCATTTTTGGGTTGAAAACCGGCAGTTTTGGGGCAAGAAATCCCAATTTTGGGTCAAGAAATCCCAATTTGGGGTCCAAAAGTCCCATTTTTGGGTCCAAAAGTCCCATTTTTGGGTTGAGAAATCCCATTTTTGGGTGAAAAACTCCCATTTTGGGGTCTCCCAATTCCACTTTTGAGTCTGAAATTCCCATTTTTGGGTGAAAAAGTCCCATTTTGGGTCAAAAACTCCCAATTTCGGGGTAAGAAATCCCATTTTTGGGTCTGGAAGAGGTCCAGAAATCCCAATTTTGGGTCAAGGAATCCCATTTTTGGGTTAAGAAATCCCAATTTTTGGTCCCCAAATCCTATTTTTGGGTCAAAAACTCCCATTTTTGGGTCTTGAAATCCCATTTTTTGGTCCCAATTCCCATTTTTGGCTCAAAAAGTCCCATTTTTGGGTCCAAAACTCCCATTTTTGAGTCCCAAAATCCCATTTTTGGGTCAAGAAATCCCAATTTTTTGGTCCCAAATCCCATTTTTCGGTCCAAAAGTCCCATTTTTGGGTTTCAAATTCCCATTTTTGAGTCTCAAATTCCCATTTTTGTGTCTCAAAATCCCAATTTTGGGTCCAAAAGTCCCAATTTTGGGTTGAGAAATCCCATTTTTGGGTGCAGAAATCCCAATTTTGGGTCAAGAAATCCCATTTTTGGATTTCGGAAGGGGCCCAAAAGTCCCAATTTTTGGGTCCAAAACTCCCATTTTTGGGTCTCAGAATCCCATTTTTGGTCCCCAAATCCCATTTTTGAGTCTAAAAATCCCATTTTTGGGTCCCAAAATCCCAATTTTGGCTCCAGAAATCCCAATTTTGGGTCCAAAACTCCCAATTTTGGGTCAAGAAATCCCATTTTTGGATTTCAGAAGGGGCCCAAAAGTCCCATTTTTGGGTCCAAAAGTCCCATTTTTGAGTCCCAAACTCCCATTTTTGAGTCCCCAAATCCCAATTTTGGGTCCAAAACTCCCACTTTTGGGTGCAGAAACCCCACTTTTGGGTCCCCAAATCCCACTTTGGGGTCTCAACCCCCCAATTTTGGGTGGAAAAGCCCCGATTTTGGGTCTCAAATTCCCATTTTTGAGTCCAAAACTCTCAATTTTGGGTCAAGAAATCCCATTTTTGGATTTCGGAAGGGGCCCACCAGCCCCATTTTTGGGTCCAAAACTCCCATTTTTGGGTCGAGAAATCCCATTTTTTGGTTCCCAAATCCCATTTTTGGTCTCAAATTCCCATTTTTGGCTCCAGAAATCCCAATTTTGGGTTCAAAACTCCCAATTTTGGGTTGAGAAATCCCGTTTTCGGATTCGAGAAGAGGCCCAGCAGCCCCATTTTTGGGTCCAAAACTCCCATTTTTGAGTCCCAAAATCCCATTTTTGGGTCAAGAAATCCCAATTTTGGGTCCCCAAATCCCATTTTTTGGTCTCAAATTCCCATTTTTGGCTCGAGAAATTCCAATTTTGTGTCCAAAACTCCCAATTTTGGGTCAAGAAATCCCATTTTCAGATTCCAGAAGAGGCCCAGCAGCCCCATTTTTGAGTCCCCAAATCCCAATTTTGGGTCCAAAACTCCCACTTTTGGGTGCAGAAACCCCACTTGTGGGTCCCCAAATCCCACTTTGGGGTCTCACCCCCCCACTTTTGGGTGGAAAAGCCCCGATTTTGGGTGAAAAGCCCCGTTTTGGCCCCATGTTTTACCACCCCGAGATCCTGCAGCGG